AGTACGAAGTTGTCTGGAAAAACTCCTCTTCGTCCTTGACATTCTCCTTCCCACCAGCCCTTATCCTCTGTGGTCTGGGAAAGAAACATGCCGGTGGGGAGGTGAGCCAGGTCCCCCAAGGTCCTTTCCGGGGTCCCACTCCTTCTCATAGATGTAATTTCAACATTTATTTTAGATTCGGGGGTACATGTGCAGGTCTACCCTTTCTCAACACCCACTTCCTTGGGCCCCCCCCACCCTGTTCCTCTCACACCTTGCTGAGTACTTTCACCACGTCCCCCCTCCGCAGCGTCAACTCGTCTGGGGCCTCAGGCTGGTAGTCAAACAGGACCCTGTAGGCCTCAGGGTGGGAGACTGGGAAGAGGTCAGTCCACTGTCCTCTGAAGCCAAGCCTCCCCCATTCATCAGCAGCCCCCGCCTCCATCAGCCCAGCTGGCCCCAAGTCACAACCTTGGGAGTGGCTGAGGGGGTGGGGGACCCTTTGGATGGGTGCTCACCTGTCTGCAGGTAGTCTGGAGGGCTGTCATAGGCCAGGCTGCTCAGCTAGTGGGGGAAGGGGCAGGGAGGAACCAGATGAGCCTCCAACCACCCCAAGAGGAACTCACCACCTCTGTGCCCACTCTGAGCCAAGTTACCTTGGGAGGCCGCTGGGGACCAGGGCTGACTGAAGGCATGTCTGGGTTACCAAAGCCTGGTGAGGGACAGTGAGGTTAGGGAGGGTGCTAATTCACAGGTTAGGTCATGGGAGAGGGTCAAAGGGGTCACAGGGTCAGGATATGTGAATCACAGGCTCATGCCACTGGGAGGGTCATTGGAGATTGCGAGTCACAGGGTCGAGGTCTCACTTGGGGGCCCACTGTCCAGCAATTCCACAAAGTTGGATGGGAAGGCTCCCAGCTGCCCGTTCTTCTTCCCCAGCCACCAGCCGTCCTCAATCTGGGGAGGGGGGAGGACGCAGGGGCATCTGGTTCTGCCCCAAGGATCCCTAGGGTAATCTTCCACCCTTGATTCTGCCCAAGCGCCCCTTCCTCCCTCTATCCCGTGCTTCCCCATATCTGCGCCGTTGCCATTCCCACTGTCCACACCCTCACTTCCCACCCTGCTCACTTGGGAGGCGTGTTCCATCATCTTTCCCCTAACGGTCCCATCACCTCACCCCTCACCTCCTTTATCATTTCCACGATCTCCCCAGCTTGCAGCTTCAGCTCGTCCGCCTGCTCTGGGCTGTAGTTGAAGTTCACTTTGCACCATCTTTGGGGCCCCGGGTATTTGGCAGGATGACCTAGCACCGGACAAGCGCACCGGAGCTCGAGCCGGACGCCCCAGTACGAGGAGCTGGGGGTAGCGCGAGGCGCGCCCGTAGCCTTTGGTACCTCCAGCCCCGCCCCAGGGCAGAGCATTGTACTCGAGAACCAATCACAGGCCGCAGAGCGGACCCGGAGCCCCGCCCAGAGCCGCGCCCGTCACCAAGAGCTAGAGGCGGCGGGGTCGCACTGACTCTGCGCGCCCGCCCACCGGACCCCGTCCCGGACCTTGCGCTCACCTCGGCGGCGCGCACAGCGCGGTCTCCGCGCCTGTCTGGAACCCCGCAGGTTCTCTGGGATCTCCTGGGAATCAGGGCACGGGGAAGGCGCTCTCAGCTCCCGCGGGGCGCGCGCTGAGACCCCACAGCCCGCCCCTGGCTCGGCCTCACCTGCACCAGGCGCTCGGGGAAGAGGCCATAGCGGCCCCCCAGCTCTCCGCGAAGCCAGCCCCGCGCGGGCACCCAGCGCACCTGCCGGACCACGTCCCCGGGCGCCAGACTCAGCTCGTCCTCCTTCTGCGCGCGGTATCCGGCCAGGACGAGGACCTCTGCGGGCGGAAGACGGGGCCGGCGCGCGGCTCAGAAAGACCCAGGCGGGGCAGCCTGGCCAGGGCGGGCGTGTCCCCAGACACCGTAGAGGGCAGCGGGGGCCGGGGGGTGGTGTGGGCTCTTGCCATGTCCACGGTTGCAGAGAGAGGCCACCTCAAAGCCTCCGCACTTACCCATGGTTTCCGGGGCGCCCTCCAGAGCCTGGCAGCTCCCGCTGACGGCCGAGTACTGGGCCCGCGCAGGGCGCGACCGGAGGCAAGACAGTAGGGTAAAGGAGGCGTAGCCGCCAGCCGATAGGTCGGGCCAGGTGCTGGGAGTGGGTGTGGAGAGGGGGCGGCCCGGCTCAGCAGGTTCAGCCCCCAACCCCGGGGTGAGGAGGACTCTAGGGTCTTTGGCCTGTGCAGCGGTTACAGCTCCGTCACAGGCTTTTCCCGCCTACCTAAATTTTAGGCCAGCCGCCTCTCCCTTTCGCTCACCTTTTGCCCGGAGGCTCCCAGCTACAATTTGCACAGAGCCTTCCCAGGCCCACCCTCCCCCACCTCACAAGCTTTTGGCTTCAGGGGAAAAGGTGGGGAGAGGCACATACCAGGGTGGGGTCCCCCAGCAGGTAGCAACCGCTCTAAACCGGCCTTGAGTGAACGAAATGGCTGCCCTTGTACCAGCAATAACTTTTGAGTGGACACTTCCAGTCTTTCTTGCAAGGCGTACTCCTCTCTGGCCGCGTACCCACCCTCTACCCCCATATAGGAAGGAGACAGCAAAGACCCCTGCTTTGGGGCCAGAGGTCTGGTTTGGTTTCAGAGAACACCTCCAGGTTCTCCCTGGGAGTTAGGCAGGGAGAATGAACTTTACGAGCTTCCAAGGTTTCTGCTCACAGTTGAGCCCCCAGCCGGCAGGAGTCTGAATGTTAGGGCCCACCTATGGCCAGTCCATGTGGGATAGGCTCTTTCAGGTAGAAGGCTGAGCCTACTAACCACATCCCTTGACCCCTGCCCCACCACCACGGAGGAAGCCAAAGTCCTTGCCTATGACACCAGCGGAAAAAATGTTTCTCCTGGGGTGTCCAAGGTACACAATGCTCCTCCCAGGAACTACTGTGTCTGTCTGGGACTTCAGCAGCCTGCGCAAGGCCCCACAGGCCCTTTGTCTTTCAGGTTTTCTGAAACTGTTGTGAGAAGTTATCTACCACCCTCAACACACACACACACACACACACTCAGGGTGACAATGAACAAAGCCCGTTTACATCTGCCACTTCATTTATTTTATTTGCAGGAGGAGTTGAAACAAATTTTAAGGGAGATTTTCATTTTCCCCCTAAACATGAATCATTCAAGTAAAACCAACTTAACTATAGAAATGTAGCAAAGTAAGGGGAAAGCAGCACAACAACCCAAGACGCAAAGGCTGGGGGGAGAGGTGGGTGCAGTCCGCATATAACATATGCATAAATGCCTTATGATTCACCTGCTCAGGACCGCCTCCCCAGAAGGCAAGCACAAGGACCCATTTTAAGAGGATGTTTCCCCCCAAACATCTGAGAATGCTTCAACTTAAACAGCTTAAGGTTAAAGACAAGAAAGAAAAAAAAAACCAAAAAAACCCCATGAACCACCCAGCCATAACCACCTTCCTTAATCGATCACAGGAGTTTCTTTTCATTTTATAAAAAGATTAATAAAAAATATTGAAAAAATTTTCTCATCTTATATTTGTAAAGATAATAGAATTCAGAAGTTTCTTAGAAAACAGACCAGACACTGCCCTCCAGTTTCCACCCCGTTGCTGGGAGGATCAGCAGGACTAGAAAGTTTGGGATACTGGAGCTGCTGGTGGAGAATAGGGAAGTCCAGCCCAGAAGAAATCAGGAAATAGGGCTCAGGGGCACGTGAGGTGTGGTTAGGAGCAACTCCACGTGATACATGGCTGCGCAGAAAAGGGGAACACAAGGTGGTCGGAAAGGCCTTAAACTCCTCCTTGACATACAAAACCGGTTTTTACAAAGATCCAAGCAGTTTGGTCCCAAACTGAGGTGAACACTTCAAAGTTTATTCACATGCTTTGTTTTCTCTTTCAAGAATCAAAGTTTCCCAAATTAAATGTTTCTAATATTACTACATATGCCTAAAAAAAGAAAAAAGAAAAAAAAAAAAGAAGGGCTTTTAAAATCAGGACAGGGGAGAAGAGATTGAAAATCATTGAATTAGTCCTCTTAGCTCCAAATGAAAAGAAATTAGAACAAAACTGTTGGTTTCTAATAGGAAACAAAAATCCAAGCATCGCTCTCCCGCCCTACCCCTGCCCCCACCCCCACACACCAACAACAAATGAGAAAAACAGCGAAAGCCCAATGCGTTGTGTTCTGCTCAAGAGCTGGGCCTGACCCCCGGGCTCCACGGCCAGCCTCCTCTATCCAGTGGGAGACAGTGCCAGGGATGCCTTTTGTGGTAGTACAATCTGCACGGCTGGTGGGGGGTGTGGGTAGGATTTATGCAATCTTCTTGAGGTTCCTCTGTTAAGCCAGCCATCTTCCCAGTGCCTCTCTCCCCTGGGCAGGAATCCCATCAATGGTGGCCCCTACTCGGCTGTGGGCTGTATATTGTCCTTCTCTTCTCGGTTCTCTGTCCCACTCTCGTCGTCTTCAATCTCCCCTTCCTCCCCACTAAACTTGTCATGGGCCCACTTGGGGCTGGTACTTGATTTCCGGAACATGAACCGGCCCCGACCCCGAGGAAAGGCTCCTCGGCCCCGGCCCCGGCTCACCCACTTGTCACTGCCTTCTCCTTCACGGTCATCATGCTGAGGGGAAAGAAAATTGCCATCAGTGCCAGAGTGAATAAGATGTGGCCAGAGCTCTCTCCTCTGCACCCACCCAAATGTGCCTTTCCCAAAAGAACCTGTGCCCTAAACCCAGCCTTCTGCTCCTTTTCTGCACTTCTCCCTGTCCCCTGCTCCAAAAATGCCAGTGGTTCAGATCCACAAGAATATCAGTTGAGTGATTTAGAAATTTTAAGGTAACAGCTTGAGCATTGTAATGATGATGAGGACGATGATGATGATGATTCACTGAGCATGAACCCTTCATAGTTTAAGGAAAATAAAAAAGTCACTGAGCACTGAAGTAAGACATTTATATACTATCTCATTTAATTCTCATATCTATCATATCATTATCACCTCCCACTCTGCGAACGAGGAAAAAGCTTAGGAACTTTAAGCAACTCCATATGATTTAGTATATCCTCTCTCAAAGGATGGGTCTGAGAAAGCCAATCACACCAAAACGTGAAACTCCACGTGAACTGGGTTGCTAAGCAGTTAAGAAAGGAGGCAATGCGGCTGGGTGCAGTGGCTCATGCCTATAATCCTAGCACTTTGGGAGGCCGAGGCGAGCGGATTGCCTGAGCTCAGGAGTTCGAGACCAGCCTGGGCAACACGGTGAAACCCCTGTCTCTATTATTTTAATAAAAAAAAAAAAGCCAGGCATGGGGATGTGTGCCTGTAGTTCCAGCTATTTGGGAGGCTTGAGGCAGGAGAACCGCTTGAACCCAGGAGGCAGAGGCTGCAGTGAGCCGAGATAGTGTCACTGCACTCCAAATGCTCAGAATCCAATGCTGGGGCTGGGGCTCTTCCTGACCCTCCAACTCCACTCTCATTTTGTATCTCCCTGTTTTATGCAAGGAGGCAGTGTGACAAAGTAGGAAGAACACTTAACCTACATTTCATTTTTTTTTTCTTTTTCACTTAGTTCAAGGAAAGGATTAACCTACATTTCAAACAATCCTTGCTCTGACAATCTCATGAGACAGAAGGAGGGATCCAATCAAACAATGAATGAGAAAACATTTTGAAAACCAGCAGTCATTACCTTATCAGCCCCAAGACTTCAGAACCTAAACCACCCCCCACACAAGCTTGGGTCTTAGGCTCTTGGAGCTCAGCTCAGCAGAAGTGTCAGCTTCTTCTGACCACGGCTGCTTGTTCACACTAAATGAATCAGGCTGGCAATACTCTCTCAGGTGGCAGATAGGGGCAAGGGAGATGGCCTTTAATCCTTCCCCTACAGCAGTCCCACTCCAGCACCCAACCTGGGCCCATCCAACTACAATTCCCTAGAGGTAAGTTCAAAGGTCCTCTAGTAGCCTCAAAGCAGCCACCAGCAGCAGCAACCCTAGAAAAGGGATGGTGGCCATGCACAGGAAACACAAAACCTGTTTCCTAGCTGTCCAACTGACAATATAGATTCATTCCAGCCATTCTAGCAGGTGGTGGAGATTCAGCTGCTCCTTTACCTTAGTTATAACACTCACACCGGCCTGGATCTTCGCCTGCTGTTACATACCAAGGCCAAGAGTGCTCACTCAAGGCCAGGTACTTCAGCCTATAAAAGTTCTAATCTGAAGGAGGCCCAGAGTGCAGGGGAATGATTAACAGCTTGATGAGAGAAGCCCCAGTGGCATTTCATTTTGGAGAGACATCCCTCTCCTCAAAGAGATCCTGAGCTGTCTTTCTTGTCATTCTTGCATGAAGGAGTGGCAGTGAGGGACAGCAGCATTGGGGAAGGGTTATGGCTCTATCCACAGGAATGAGGGAGGCTGAGGGTGGGGTGGTGGTTGAGCAGTAAAACAAGTTCACAGACTAAAAAGACAAGACCAATGCTTCTTGCTTATCTTGGAAACCATAAACATCTTCAATGACAAACTCTTTGAAGACCAGGACTGCCTCTCTAGAGGACACCCATCCAGTTAGCACACCCCAGTGTAATATTCCTGCACATAAATTTAATCGCAGTTTTGGACAAACTAATTAAGGCCTGGTATCAGCTACTGTGTGTGTCAAAGGCCCTCTGACCCTTCCTGGTTATCCCCAGACACATACCAAGTAATACTTCTTGCTTTTGGGTGTGTACTCTGGGTCCCACTCCTCTTCCCGGTTTCTTTTTTGAAAATCGTTGTTGCTGTTGTTGTTATTGTTCCCAGAGTAGTTGCCTCTGC